AGGAAGACAGCCTTGAATCATTAAAGGCACCCCCTCCCCCCCAGATCCCTTTTCCACCCCTCTAACCCTGTCTGATGCAGCTTGACGATGCCCCCAGGCTCTCAAAAGCAGTAATCACAGCAAGATGTTACCCCAGTTAAGAGGCGGCCTCTAGGGCTAGACTCAGCCAATTAAAAAGATGGGGAGGAGGTAAAAGGTCAGCCCTTTGGTACCCCTGTCCTGTGGCCATAAGTCCTTACCCCAGCAGTAGGGATGGGATGAGGGAGGAATTTGGGACTGTCACCTACCTTGTTTACAACTCCCAAGCATGGATCGAAACTCAGCCAGCCTTCAAAAATTCACACTTTCCCGAAATTTGCAACACTCTTCTCTAGTTGAGTAAAGGGTGTGTGTGAGAGAGATGCATATACTCAGGTAAAGTGTGTATAAAAATGCACGTATTCATTTAAATAACATGCAAAGCTGCATGCAAAATTGTGCATATTAGAATAAATGTACATGAAAATGCAGGCGGATTTTCATGAGGGTTTTTCTTTAAAATCAATCAAACACAAACTAATACGGAGATTGTGGAGACCCAAATTTAAGATTGAAAACCCTCCGCAAAAATCCAAAATGGGCAGATTCACTCATCCCTTACCCTCCAGGCATGCTTTTATTGCTGTAGATGTTCAGAATCCACGTACTTTCAGAACTGTTTAGTACAGGGATAGAGGAATCTCAGGCCTGGGATACATATGCGGCCCTCAGGTCCTCTCTCTATGGCCCTCAGATTCTCCTGAGGGTCTTCTACCCCCCCAAGCCCCATCCCTCAGTGGTTCCCTTCAGGATGAAGACATGTGTATATAGAGGAATTATGGGTTTTGCATAGCTGGAATGAACCCTACTGTTGCTCCATTCACCCCATCCACCACAGGCATGAAAAATGGCTGAAAAATGTTCCTTCTCCAGCTTTTAATTATAGGAGTCAACAATCAGGACAGAGCTCTACATTATTATTATTATTATTATTATTATTATTATTATTATTTACTTACTCTTTGGCATCAGTGCTGGCCCTTGCAGAAAGATAACTGCCTAGGTAGGAGAAGTGATCAACATTTTCCAACGTTACACCATTGAGTTGGATTTGTGGCACTGCAGAGGGGTTATTTTGTACTGCCAACCTTGCTTGTGAAACATGGACCACTTACAAAGGCTTTCTCCAAATCCTCGAAAGATTCCATCAACGTTGTCTCTGAAAATTTTTACACATCATTTGGGAAGACGGGTGAACAAATATCAGTGTACTGGAAGAAGCAAAGTTCACCAGTGTTGAAGCAATGATTCTTCAACATTAACTTTGTTGGACTGGTCATGTTGTGAGGATGCCTGATGATAGTCTTCCAAAGTAACTACTACTCTATTCTGAACGTAAAAATGGAAAGTGTAATGCTGGTGGTCAACAAAAGAGGTTTAAAGATTGTCTCAAGGCAAATCTAAAAAGAATGTAGTATAAATACTGACAACTGGGAAACACTGGCCTGAGAGCGCTCCAGTTGGAGAACAGTTGGAGAACCAAAGGTGTCATGGGCTTTGAAGACACTCGAACTCAGGACGCAAGGGAGAAACATGCTAACAGGAAGGCATGCTTGGCAAATCCACACCGTGATCAACTCCCGCCCAGAAACCAATGTCCCCACTGTGGAAGGACGTGTGGATCCAGAATTGGCCTCCACAGTCACTTACGGACTCATTGTTAAAACCGTGTTTATGGAAGACAATCTTACTCGGCTACAAGTGATTGCCAAAGAGGAAGAGAGAGAGAGAGACTTACTCTTCATCAGCAGCTCCCAGAGCAGGTTACAATGATTTCAACTTCAGAATTAAAAACAGTTAAAGCAGATTACAGTCACAGGAATATTCATTATTATTTATCTACTGCATTTAAGTCCACCTTTTTCTCCTAGGAGCTCAAGGTGGCGTCCATAGTTCTCCCTCCTCATTTAATTCCCACAAAATCCCTGTAAGTTAGATCAGGCTGAGAGGCAGTGACTGGGCCCCAAGGTCATCCAGTGAGCTTCTTGGCCGTGGGGGGGGGGGGGAAGAGACTTGGACACTCTGTGGGCCCTAAACACATACGCCTCCATTTTCAAAAGCTGGTATAAAGAGGTGCATCTTCAGCATTCACTGGAAGTTGTGTAATGAAGGAGCCAGGCACACCTCTGTGGGGAGGGAGTTCCATAGTTCAGGGGCCACCACCAGTGACGTAGCGTGGGGGGTGCAGGGGGGGCCGGCTGCACCAGGCGCAACATCTGGGGTTAGGGCAAATCCACAGGTTAGGGGGCGCAAATCCACGGGTTAGGGGCGCAAATCACGGGTTAGGGGACGCAAATTACTTGCCTTGCCCCAGGTGCTGACAACCCATGCTACGCCACTGGACACCACAGAGAAGACCCTCTCCTGTGCCACACCCCTCCCCAGGCTTCTGAGAGTGGGGGAACTACCAGAGTACTGAGTACAGTTAAACAGTACATGCGCAAGAATATTTATTATTATTTATTACTTTAATAAATAAAACAAAATTTTATTAATAAAAGAAATACGGCGTTTCCGTGCGCTGCTCTGGTTTGCCAGAAGTGGCTTAGTCATGCTGGCCACATGACCCGGAAGCTGTACACCGGCTCCCTCAGCCAGTAAAGCGAGATGAGCGCTGCAACCCCAGAGTCGGCCACGACTGGACCTAATGGTCAGGGGTCCCTTTACCTTTACCTTTATAGTTAATCAGGAAAGGGATTATCACTTCTCTGACTGAACATCACAGACATAGGACTCAGCTGCAAATATAACCTTTTAAGTGCTTTTTAAGTGCATTATACAAATGTGACACTAGATGGTGATGGTGAGCTTATGGCAAATTCAATATTTTTTCAAAACACTTTTTAAAAAAGCATTTTCATAGTGTTTTTTTATATTCCACCATAAACAGTAGGGAGTTGGGCTAAGTCCATGCACTGAAAATGCAACGGTTTGCCATGAATATCCAGAGCTTTCATGCAGAGCAAATCTTTTGGTTTCAGGCCTTCCAAATCCACTCATGGTAGCCGGATAAGAGGAATGTTTCACCCAGGAAGCAAATTGGGAGCCAGGCCAGCCATCACTAACTGATCAACTTCCCCTACAGTTTCTGATCTCGGCTGGTTCCATAGATTCCCCTCAAAACAGAATGTTTGCGAAGCCTGTCACTGAAATAAGTGAACATGATCAAAGCAGATCTTTGCTTTTTTTAACAGTTCTGGGTTCTTCAAGTTCTTTTAAAAGGTAACCAAGGAGAAAGGAGAAGAGGGTGCAACTCCGATAAGTTTTTTAAATATAGCATTGTAGGAAAATTGACATCACGGGGCAAATCCGTTGTCATTTTTGTTATGGACAGGAGCCTTTCATTTAGCATTTTGGATCCAATTCACGTGTTCCAGAAAGTGCCAATGAAAATATAATATGTTGGTTCTGTAGTTGGAAAAAATCCCAGCCAGTAAGTCTGGAAGTCAGAGGCTGAACAAATCCCTCTCGTCATTGCAATCCTGTGCTGTGGGTTTGGTTACTTGCTTCCTTAAAAAACCCCACTGGGTTTAAAAAACAGCAACAAAGTCATGGGACAAAGTGAAATCCAAGGCTTGGACCAGCCAATCAGGCCCTGATGGAAAACACTTCTTCTTAGAGGAGCTTCCAAGGATCCACTATAATTTTTATGTTTGTGACTTAACCGCTTCTTTCCTTTCATCTGTTCTGCAGATCTGTTACGTGGAACTCTAGGTAGCAAGCAAGAGAAGTTCTGACCAGGAATGGGCAACCTTGCTTCTGTTCAGAAGAACAGAAGAAGAGCCTGCTGGATCAGGCCAATGGCCCATCTAGCCCAGCATCCTGTTCTCCAAGGGGAAGCTTCCAAGCAGGATAAGAGGGGATGCAAACCCACAGAAGCAGGGAGAATGAGGTGGGTTTCTTTGTTCAGCAGAAAAACATGCTTTGGACAGAAAACCCTGCCATGATCCCTGAAAGTGATAAGCCAGGCTCCTGCCCAGCACCTGCATGGAAGACCTTCTCCACAAAAGCACCAGTTAATTTCTCTCCATAGGGGTGAATGGTGACAGTTTAGATGGGAGGGGCAATAAATAAATAGAGCCCTCCCCATGTCACTGATAACTGAACCTAGTCATAGGAACCCAAGAAGCTGCTTTCTGGTGACTCAGACCATAGGTCTACCAAGCCCAGTACAGTGGTACCTCGGGTTAAGAACTTAATTCGTTCCCGAGGTCCGTACTTAACCTGAAATGGTTCTTAACCTGAAGCACCACTTCAGCTGATGGGGCCTCCCGCTGCTGCCACGCCGCCGGAGTGTGATTTCTGTTCTCATCCTGAAGCAAAGTTCTGTAACCTGAAGCACTATTTCTGGGTAAGCGGAGTCTGTAACCTGAAGCGTCTGTAACCTGAAGTGTATCTAACCTGAGGTACCACTGTATTGTCTACAGTGACTGGCAAGAGTTCTCCAGGGTTTCAGGTATGGAATGTAACCCAGTCCTACCTGAAGTTGCCATTGAGGATTGAACACAGAAACTTCTACAAGCAAATCAGGTGGTCTACCATTGACCCACCACTCTTTCCCCAATTAGGAGTAAAGAATCTACCAGCCTGGATAGCTTGGTTGCTTAGAACATGGTGTTGATAATGCCAGTCCCTGTAAGGGACAGCTGCCTATTCCTGCACTGAAGGGCATTGGATTACATGATCCTCAGGGTCCCTTCCAACTTTATGGTTCTATTTGGGGTGGAGGTGGGGGCTTCAGGTAGGCAAATTATTTTCCCCTTTAAAGCTGTCCTTTTTCCAAACACGCTCCCCCCGCAAACGAACTTGTAGAAAAAAAGGCAGGGGTGACGACTAACCGAAAAACAGAAAAATAAGGAGCAGGAGGGGTGTGTGTGGTTGTCTGTCTGTCCGTCTGTTAAAAAGCAAACTTTTTTGTCGATTTCAGAAGAGGGAGGGGGCAGCTCCTCTTGAGTCAGTTTCAGGAGAAGGGAGGGGAGGAAGGCTTCGTCAGTTTCAGCAAAGGAGGGCCAACCTCTTGTCAATTTCAGAGCCAGGGGAGTCGTGCGAAAGAAAGAAAGAAAAAGAAACCAACAACTTTGGTCTCTGAGCGGCTCGAGAAGAAGCCAGAGAGAGTTTTGTGGGCTAGGCTGAGCAAGGGGAAATTGGGGGCGCGCTCCCTCGCCCTGTTTCCCCTCTCTTAGACGTCGACACGAGGCAGACCGAGATCTTCCCATCTCTTTTCCCTGGGAAACCACAGCCAGGAAGAGCAAATCGGGGGTGTAGCGGGGGTCATCAGAACTTTTTTTTTGGGAGGGGGGTAAGGGAAGGAAAGGCAAGAGAGAGCCGGATCGCTTTTGCGTTTGTGGGTGCTGGTGAGCCAGGGTGGGTGGGGGGGTCAGCAGGCGCCCTGGAGCCCCCCACCTCCGCGATGGACGCTGTGGCAGCCTTCGGCATGGATAAGCAATTTGCCCCGAACCCGGTGCGGATTTTGGACCCTCCGGACAACCCCCAGGCTCGGAAAAACTTCAGCGTCAGCCACCTCCTGGATTTGGAGGAAGTTGCCGCCGGCATGAATGGGGCAGCCAAGGAATCCGGCGCAGAGGCGAGGGAGAGCGGCAAGGGCGGGCCGGACCCCTCTGGGGGCAGCAGCGGGAGCGAAGGAGGAGGCGCCCTTCGGGAAGGTGAGCGCTTTTTAGATGAAGGGGGGAAGAGGAAAGAAGAGGAGATGTCCTCAGACTTTCTTTTTGAGGGGGGTGTCCTAAATAATCTGTCACGATAGGCTGTCCGGACTCATCCAACATCTGTGAAATGGGTATAGGAAATGCAGTGCCAGCCAGGCCTGGGGGAATCCACAAGCTTTCACACCCTGGCAGCCTTGCTCGCAGCTCCTCATAAAGTCCACCTACCTGGGAGTCAGCCTCACTGAATTCAAGAGGACTTGACTTATGAGTAGACACGGTCCAAATGGTGCCGTTTATGGCAGATTTGGGGCCTGATCATGCCCGTTGTAAAGCATTTCACAGTGATCACACGAAGTCATCCTCATCAAAACACCATCCTTTATATTCCCCCCCTTTCTTATTTCATCTAAATTTCCCATAGTTTTATTGTTTATAATTGGGTTTTCCACAAAAATGGCAAATCCAGTTTAAATGGTGAAATGATAACAGGTGGTGTTTTGATGAGAGCAGCATTGTGTGGATGCTGTGTTGAACTTGTATGTAACAGCCATCCCAAATCCACTATAGTAAGGTGTGCAAAGGTTCCTTCCACATCTTCCTTATTGGAAGCAAAAGCGCTATTGAAATTGGTATCCAATTGGGCCCTGTTCCTTCCATTGGGCCTTGCACTTTGTAATTTTTTCTGCAGGATTGTGCTCCTCTCTCTCTCTCTCTCTCTCTGTCTTTCTTGTATCTTTTCATAATCACACCCTCTGAGTCTGGGTTTATAGGACCAGCATCCTTTCCTGTACAGTGCCTAGCATGTAGTCCCTTTGCAGTAATCTGGTTGGCCACTGTGAGAACAGGATGCTGGACTAGATGGCCCCTTTTGGGGGTCTCTTTTTAGGTGCTTAGGTTCTATATGTTAGCTCCAGGGTCAGAGGCAGCAATGCTTCTGAATACCAGTTGCAGGAAACTGCAGAAGGGGAGAGTTGATGTTTCCAAGGGCATCTGGTTGGCCACTGTGAGAACATGATGCTGGACTATAAGGGACATTGGCCTGATCTTACATCCCTGCTATTTCAATGACCAGCAGCTCCAGTGGTTAGCAATAGATTCCCCTCCTCCCCCCAGGCCTTGGAAACTGGGGAAAGAGGTGGGGGTTTTGTTTGGCAAACAGACATCTTAAAGCCATGGAAAGGAGTTTTTGCAGTTCATCTATGCTCTGAAATATGTTTGTGCATGAGCAAACACCATGGAGACTATTATAAGTGAAATGTGACATCATGACAACAGCCACACATCCAAGAAGATTCCTTCTTCTTTCTTCTTCTTCCTTCTTCTTCTTCTTCTTCTTCTCCTTCTCCTTCTCCTTCTCCTTCTCCTTCTCCTTCTCCTTCTCTTTCTCCCTTCTTTCAGGATACATTTTCTTCAAACGGAGGCTTACAAGAAACATAAAATTTATATGCTGCTTTTCAGCCCAAAAGACTCCCAAGGCAAGAATAAACAGATGTACACAAATACAACACAGAGCAAATACAACACAATGCAGAAACAAATGATGTAAATTCAACACATTTCAACAGTATTGGAAACCAAACGCATCTCTGCTCCTGCCAAAAAAAGGCAGATGACATTCCCTTCAAAAATGTTAAGGGTGAGAATACTTAAGCATATATAAAATGTCATCAGAAAGCTTCCCACAACGCAGATGGGATAGATTAGCACAGGAGTGGTGGTAAAAAGACTGCTTCGTTTTGCCATGAATACCAATGGGAAGTTGAGTTGCCTGGACCATAATTTATTGATGAGTTCTCAAGGGCCTTGGGGCTGAAATCATCACCAACTACATAGGCACAACTTTGCTCCTGAACGCAACACTCTGCCGCTAATGGTTCATGGGTGAGGGTCCAAGTCCCGACAACTTGAGTCCTAAAGGACTTTGTTCTAATGCTGGTGGTTCCCAAGGCCTCCCAGAAAGTGAAGCTTCCTCCTGCAGAACATGCTCACCTTTGCAAGTACACCCAGGAATAGGAAGGTTGAGTCTGAACCGTCCTTAATTTTAGCTGCCTAAAATATTACTGTTGCCATTTGTAATAAAGTTAAGAATTTTAAGGGCCTTAGTTGGAAGAGCTAGATGTGGTTTATGACTAGTAATAAGATATTATCATCATTATTGTGAGCCTGCTGGATCAGGCCAAAGGAGGCCTAGCCGATCCAGCATCCTGTTCTCACAGATGCCAGTAATGGGAAACCCACAAGCAGGATTCTACAACAAGAGCAACTCTCCCCTCCTGCGGTTCCCAGCAACTGGAATTCAGTAGCATCACTGCCTCCGACCATGGAGACAGAGCATAGCTATCCATTGATTGCCCTCTACATCCTGTAAAACGTAAGCATGCAAGCAGAGTCCTGTTGGATCAGGCTAAAGTGGGCCCATCCAGTGTAACATCTTGTTCTGACAGTGGCCAACCAGATGCTTCTATTGTTGTTGTTGTTGTTACTATTACTTATTGAATTTATATACCGCGCTATACCCAGGGGTCTCAGGGTGGTTCACAGAATAAGAAATTTGCAAGCAGGACATGAGCACAAAGCATTTGTCTGCTACCAGGGTAATTTCAGGGACACCTTAGCATGCTTGCACGCACTTGTGTGCTCCCCCACTACACCATAAACTGCATATGTTGCAAGGACGCACTGGTTAGACTGGCCATTTTTACGGCAATCTGGTTCTGCTTCTTCCTGCATTGGTCTTAGCAATACTCATGCATGTGCAACACTCAGGAGGCTAAAAGTTCTCTCTTTGTTTTCCATTTTCAATGTCATATATGGGGGGAAACGCAACAGGCATCCCTTGGAATCAATCTGCACAGCCCAAAAAATTTTCTGTGGAAAGCCCCAGGCCCAGACAGAGGGAGGGTGGCACCATAGGGGCCACTTGACCCGGGCCTCTGATTCCAAAGGGGGCCTCGGTCAGCATATCACAATCGCAGGGGATGCACTGGGGCGAACACGGAGGCGCAAAGGTGGCGGCGGTAGTGGGCGGATTCCCTGGGGCCATGGCTGGCAGCGCAAGAGAAAAGCTTCCCCAGTGTCCGTCACCAAAAGAAATTGCTGATCAAATACTAAACTTGAATTTGGAAAATGTTTTTTCCAAATCTTCTAATTGCATTACGCATTTTCTTATCATTACTAGCTACAATGAGAGAAGTTTCAATATATTAAAACGAATTAAGTCTTTCTTTCAATCAACAATGGCTCAAGAACGCCTAAATGGTTTAGTAATGATAAACATAAACCACGATCAGGCAAAGTTGCTTGATTTTTCCTGTGTAATTCAAGAATTCGCAGAAAAGAAATTTATAAGACTTCAGTTATCCCCAGGGTAAAAAAAAAAGGGGGGGGCACATTATCTACCTGGCCTGGGCCTCTGCCTGGCTCTGCAAGGCCCTGGAGAGCCCCATAAAAATGAAAAGACCATGGAACAACCCCCTTTCATTTCAATGGGGTTTGAACAGGAGAACATCCCATTAGATTTGGGATACATAAGGCTTAAGCACCCAGCTATGTGCTTCAGATCTCAAGAGGTTTTCCCTGGGATGCATTGTGCTCTCAAGGACCTCCTGAAAGCTCTGACAGAAGTATAAATTTGTTGTGCATAATCTAGCTTAAGTATACCCATTTGAATGAATAGGAACTGTCACAACTGCTATTATGGGGTCAAAATGACTCTTGTGGGTGTCCCCATCCATTTAAATGACCACCCTGTGAAGTAATGAGAAGGCTGCAGCTTTGTGTTAGTGAATGTGCTTTGCATGCAGAAGGTCCCAAGCTCAATTCTCAATGGCATCTCCTGGTGGGGCTGTGAAAGACCCCTTGGTTAAAAATCTTGAGAGCTGCTGCCGGCCAATGTTGACAGTTCTGAGCTGCATGGACTCTTGGTCTAACTTGGTATAATTTCTTGTGTTCTCATTAAACCAGCCTTTAATTCAGAACTGTGAGGACTGGAATCTTTATTTTTAAGGAAAGGGTCAGAACGCAGAAGTAGAGCATCTGTTTAGCATGCAAGAGGTTTGAGATTCAATTCCCAGCATCTCCAGATTCGGCTGGGAAATACTCTCTGGCCGAAGCCCTGGAGAGCTGCTGCCAGTCAGTGTTGACAATTCTGAGCTAGATGGAATGAAGGCTCCACCCAGAATAAGGCAGCTTCCTATGTTGGTCACTCTTCTAACCATTTCACAAAGGAGACACCTGAGACTGAGCTAGTGGCCCCCATTTGCAGAGGTGTGATCCGCATGTCCAACTATCACTGCAAGGACCACCTTCCTATTACTCATTTATTATAATTTATTACGGTTACACACTGCCCTAAAATCCTAAAATAGGCTGAAAGGTGTTGCATAGATGCTTTGATTGATTGTATTTATTTTTGGTGGGTTTTATAGTCTGTCCTTCAGTCAAATGCCCATCTCTGTTGCTCCTGTGCCTTTAGTTTAGGAGATTGACTTGCAAATGACAGCAGGTCTCCCAGTTGTGAACAACAGATGCTCTCTTGATGGGAACTCCTTTTTCATAGGCAAAGAAGGAAGCCAACTTGACCTCCCTCCATCTCATCTTTTGGAAATTTTTAATTTCTAACCTAGCTTCAGTTCAAATAGCATTGGGATGAAAGCAGAAACAACCTTCCAAGCATGGCAACTCATAATGATCATGAGAGCATGGTGCATTTTCCCTTGATGACACATTTAGTGATCTAGATTCTAGACCCAAATCCCAGCTTTTCCTACACAAGATGGGCACCCTATTGCAACTCAGTTTGGTTTCCCTCTTCCAGTCTGTGAAACCAGAATAATAATGTTGATCTGCTAAATGGTGTCATTGGTGAGGATTGGTGAAATTGTAGCCTATAGAGTTAAATATAAAGGAAAAGAACAAATGTTAAGTGAAATTTGCAGTGCCTGGGGGACCTCAGAATTAGGAACAGAAATCCAGAAAGACTGCTTCAAATATTTATTTCA